TTCTCATTTAGCATCGACGGTCTCGATTACTCCTTATTTAGTTGTTTTTACAATGTCCCATTGTCTCTCTCCTTCCTATATGCTCCCTCTGTCCTCAGCTTTCTGCAATTGAGTTCAAGCTGAGTTCAGAGTGCAAAAGTAGTTTGTCTTGACTTACCTTAGCAGGAGGAGAGGACAGGATGGGGCAAAATCCTGCCCTTCCCAGGAGGCTCATGCTGCAATCTCTTCTGCTTGTGTGTTCTCTTTCTAAATCATAACTTTTGCTATCTTAACCATCCTCTGATGTTGCTCGGCTGGACATGTCCCAGGTTACACCTCTGAAATGTTGGAGGGTATGAAATTAGGAACGAATGAGCTCATATGATTTGATCTAAAGACAAAACCGGACTTAATTCTTTATTATTTATTAATGTGATAATTTAAAACAAAGCTTTTTAAAGCATTTTACATACTTAAAGTAATCAAGGCACCAGATTCCATCAGATCTTAGGATCTAAGTAGGCTCAGCCCTTGTTAGTACTTGTATAGGAGTCTCCCAATAAATACAATTACAGTACAATTGTATGCACGTCTAATTAACCCTAAGTACAACTCAGTTTTAAAGGAAGTAACTGGCAAAATGTATTCTGAATATCGCTTGCCTAAGAAAAAGTATGAAATTCATGGGCCAAAAGGCTATTTGAAGGCCCAAATAGATAATAATATTTAGTATTTGGTTGCCCTTTTCAAGAATTCAGAATATTTCTTGTGTGCCAACTCATTAAGAGCACCATTTTGGAAATAAACTATTGGTTTAAGATCACAAATACTTAAGGACAGTCCTGTTAATAAGAAACACGCCATTAACTTAAATGAGCACAGAACCTGCCTATTTAAACATCTTATTCAGCTCTATTATGATTTGGCAAGGAAAGATTTATATTTCTTTATATTTCTTCCCTGGATAAACAAGAAGGTGATACAGACTGAATTTAGTTTGTGAGTTGCTGTGAGTTTTCCGGGCTGTATGGCCATACTCCTGATGTTTTGCTCACAAATAGGGCAGGCATCGATGTATTGTCGAAGGCTTTCATGGCCGGAATCACTGGGCTGTTGTAGGTTTTTTTCGGGCTACCTCTGAGGATGCTTGCCATAGATGCAGGAGAAATGTCAGGAGAGAATGCCTCTAGAACATGGCCATATAACCCTCTAGAACATGGCCACCTCACTACCTCTGGGGATGCTTGCCATAGATGCAGGCGAAACGTCACGAGAGAATGCCTCTAGAACATGGCCATATAACCCGAAAAAACCTACAACAGCCCAGGGCAGGCATTCTCAGAGGTTGAGAGGTCTGTTGGAAAGTATGCAAGTGAGGTTTATATATCCGTGAAAATATCCATAAGCATGAGGACAATTTCGACAGAAAGGACAAAACCATGAAAATGAACAAAATCTTGTATTAAAAAAAACTCTGAAATCAGGACAGTAAATAATGAGGAACACTAAAAAAAATGGAATTCCAGACAGAAAATAATCAGGGCCAACTAATTCATCTCAACAAAGGATTCCCCCAGGCAGGAAACAGCCAGGCTTTGAAGCTGCAAGGCCATTCAATGCCGATCATGGTAGCCAATTGCAAAATTCATATGTAGTAGACTCCTGCAGAGGTGAGAGGATCCTTCTTCTCTTTTGCTGAACATAGCATATGTTGGATTTTCTTAGTGGATCTGTAGAGGTGGTCAACTGCAACACTCACACTTGCCTCAAGCAGACAAGAGTTATTTCTCCCATCCTGGACATTCCACAGATATATAAATTACACTTGCCTAGTTTCCAACAGACCTCACAACCTCTGAGGATGCCTGCCATAAATGTGGATAAAACGTCAGGAGAGAATGCTTCTGGAACATGGCCACACAGCCCGGAAAACTCACAGCAACCCAGTGATTCCAGCCATGAAAGCCTTCGACAACACATTAAATTTAGTTTTCTCATGAACATTCTTCATAGGAAATTCTTCTTGCTCATCCACTGCAATTGAGGCTCCATAGTGCTTATTATAGTGAAACTTGTTTTGTCAAGCTGAGGAAAGAGATATGGCTAGAAGCCTGATGAACTGGATAAGAATTCTTGTTACCATTTCCATGAAGCTGCTGTGATAGAAAGTAAAATCAGCAACAGTTAGGTGAAATGGTTCAGTAAAAGAATAATCGAAGTTATTTGTGTGTACATATTTCAGTTATGCCTGATTAGAACAACTCATTAGGAAGGTCTAGTGGTTAGTGATAACTGAGCAGATTCTCTGCAGTCTTGGGAGATTTATGGTGCAGTTGAGCCACACTAAGTACCACTTAGGGCCCTTCCACAAAGCCATATCACCCAGAATATCAAGGCAGAAAATCCCACATTATCTGCTTTGAACTGGGATATATGGCAGTGTGGACTCAGATAACCCAGTCAAAGCAAATATTGTGGGATTTTTCTGCCTTGATATTCTGGGTTATATGTTGGAAGGACCCCTAGTTTAGTGGGAATTGAGTGTGTGTCTGCCTTCAAAGCACCTGTGGACATATGTGGCAACCCTTTGAATTTCATAGGGTTTTCTTAAGCAAGGAATGCTCAGAGTTGGTTTTCCCAGTTCATTCCTCTGAAATATAGACTACAGCACCTTGTATTCATTGGTGCTACCCCATCCAATCACTAACTAGAGTTGCTCTTGCTCAGCTTCCAAGATCACACAGGATTGGTCCAATTTAGACAATGGGTCCCAACCCTTTTTTACTCATTGAGCTCTTTTTAGAGTCAATTCTATGGCGGAGCCCCTTAGGCCTACCTAATGTCTTACAAGTAAATATATTTTAGGAGTAGTGTTACAGGAAGAGGAAGAGGGGATAGATAGTAAGGAAATGTAAAGAGCTCTCTAAACAATTGTGCAATGTCCATGCAATGTAATTGTATTTTAAAAACATTACCATAATATCTCAGTTTATTCTCACCTAACACCAACACACACGATTTTATCAAAACCTGACTATACATAAAAATTCTTCCAGAGTTCAATAAATCAAACCATATTTCTGTTCAGAATGTAATTTCTATTTTTTTTAAAAAAAATTGATTCCACTTTTTGCTTTTTATTCTTTGATTTCATTCAATTTTTATTTATTTTATTTTCCCGTAGGAGCCCCCGGTGGCGCAGTGGGTTAAACCCCTGTGCCAGCAGGACTGAAGACTGACAGGTCGCAGGTTCAAATCCGGGGAGAGGCAGATGAGCTCCCTCTATCAGCTCCAGCTCCTTATACAGGGACATGAGAGAAGCTCCCCACAAGGATGATAAAAACATCAAATCATCTGGGCGTCCCCTGGGCAACGTCCTTGCAGATGGCCAATTCTCTCACACCAGAAGCGACTTGCAGTTTCTCAAGTCACTCCTGAGACAACAAAAAAAAAAAATCCCATGAATCCCTGGGAAGGAGCATGCGTTGAGAACCACTGCTTTAAAGCATTAAAGAAATTCTTCAGTGGGAATGACTACCAGGCAAATGTGTAAAACTTGTTCAGAGTAGCTGGATCTCTCTTAAGTCGCCCTTGCTGTAAACCCCCAATGTATTAATGTAAACCCTTGCTGTAAACCCCCTATGTCTCTGCTTTACCTAATAGTGAATTCTTTTAAAAATGTACTATGTCCTTCTGTATTTCAAGCCTGGACTTGTGACTGAATTGACCTGAGTAGCTTTGATAGTTATCAAAGGTGACTCCAGGAAAAATGTTTTGTCTGTTATGAGTGCTTTCCTCCCAGCTCTTTGCTGACATCTGGTGTGCCGAAAAGGCTAAGCACTTTAAATAAAGTATTAATATCTAATTATGTCAAAGGGGCTGCGGTAGTGCAGCGGGTTAAACTGTTAAGCTGAAGAAGTTGCTGATTGGAAGTTCAGCAGTTCGAATCCGTAGAGCGGAGTGAGCTCCTGTTGTTAGCCCCTGCTTCTATCAACCTAGCATGGAGCGCTATTAACTTCCTGCTGGAGCTGTACAAATTGATCTACTCACATTTGCATGTTTTAGAATTGCTAGGTTGGCAGAAGCTGAAGCTAACAGCGGGAGCTCACCCCGCTCCCCGGATTCAAACCATTAACCTTTCGGTCAAACAGTTTAGCAGCTCAGTGGCCCACTACTGTATGATAATTAAGCTTTTAAAACAAAATAAAAGATCTGTAGCAATTAAAACTTGTGCCCCAGCTGTGCCCGTTTCTTGAAAAGTCTGACTTGGCCACGGTGGTCCATGCTCTTGTTACATCCCAAATAGACTACTGCAACACACTCTACGTGGGACTGCCTTTGAAGACTGCCCAGAAACTTCAACTAGTCCAACAATCGGCAGCCAGTTTGCTCACTGGAGTGACGTACAGGGAACAGACAACTCCTTTGTTACGCCAATTCCACTGGCTACTGATCAGATTCCAAGCACAATCCAAAGTGCTGGTTTTAACCTTTAAAGCCCTAAATGGTTCTGGCCCAGACTACCTGTCCAAATGTATCTCCTGCCACGAACCATCACGAAGTTTAAGATCTTCAAGAGAGGCCCTGCTCTCGATCCCACCACTATTGCAGACACGGTTGATGGGGACGAGAGACAGGGGCTTCTCAGCAGTGGCCCCCCGCCTATGAAACGCCCTCCCTAGAGATATCAGATTGGCCACTTCCCTCTTGTCTTTTAGAAGGAAAATCAAGACCTGGTTATGGGACCAAGCGTTTGATCTGTGAGCAGCAAGTGGAAGAAGATCACACAAGTTACGGCAGTGAATTGACCCAGATTGGTTTTTGGATTTCGATTTTAATGGATGTGTCTTAATTAATTGTTTTAATTGTTGTTACAATATTTTTAATATTTTGATTTTACTGTGGTTATTTTTCTGATGCTAGCATCGTATGATGCTTTTGTTAGGCCGCCCTGAGTTCCCCTTTGGGGGGAGAAGGACGGGGTATAAATATAGAAAATAAAATAAATAAATAAATAGTGCTTAATATTTACAAGTTTACGTTTATTTTTTCTGTACAGAGGCAAGTGTGCTGCTCACACTGCCAAGATTTCCATTAGTGACCATTTAAACATGATACACAATATATACATATGCACACACATATACACATGACCCAAGCAATTTCAGTTTCTTCAAAACTTAACAGCCATGATTCCAAACTGAGTTTAATGCCACTCATATGAACACCTATGATATAGTGCATAGTTTTTTTTTCCTAATCTATCTGAGTGCAGGGCCTCTCATCTCCCAATTTTTTAATATAATTCTGCCTGGCAGAAGTGCTGCTTCAGAATAAAAGTGCATTTCTTCAAAAGCTGTCCCTTTCTGAGTACATTTGGCTTCAGATTCAGTTTCGAAAGCTAAACCATAACTGCAAATTTATTTATTGCCACTTTCACTTATTAAGCGGCAACACACAGGAAATAGACTAGGACAGTGGTTCTCAACCTGTGGGTCCTCAGATATTTTGGCCTTCAACTCCCAGAAATCCTAACAGCTGGTAAACTGGCTGGGATTTCTGGGAATTGTAGGCCAAAACACCTGGGGGGGGACACAGGTTGAGAACCGCTGGACATAGGGATCTCGTATATATGTTCAAGCTTATACAAAGGACAAAACCAAGCTATGATTTGGGAACGTCACTTAAGGTTGCCTTACATAGTAGAACTGCAGTTCTGTCACTGCCATTTGGTTGGTGGGAATGAACCAAAGCAAAACAACCCTTTATGGGAAAAGTAGTCTAAGGAAAGATGTCCCTTTACTGAAGATAGGTGATAAGCTTGATGTGGAGAGGATTCTTGTAATTCCAGACTCCTCTTGGTCTCTTTAATGCAGGCATGGCAAACATTTCTCCTCTTTGTGCAGGCTGATGAGGAATTAAAACCGGTGAGGTCCATGAAGCTGAAGTTCAGAAATCAAGTATTTTAGCAGTACAAATACGCTGTCAATTTCTCATGTTGCTCACTGTGGACATAAAAAAAAGAAGATACCCCATTTTAGAATAATGAGCACATGCTAAGGAAAGAAAACATATTTGCATTATCAGTAAAAAAAATGTTTACATATGAGGTTAAAAAAGTCAAGGTTTTCCCCTGACATTAAGTCTAGTCATGTCCAACTTCTGGAGGGTGGTACCCATCTCCATTTCTAAGCCGAAGAGTCGGTGTTATTTGTAGACACCTCCAAGGCCACGTGGCCAGCATGACTGCATGGAGCGCTGTTACCTTCCTGCAGAAGCAGTACCTACTGATCTACTCATATTTGCATGTTTTCGAACTGCTAGGTTGGCAGAAGCTGGGCCTAGCAGTGGGAGCTCACCCTGCTCTCTGGATTTGAACCACCAACCTTTCAGTCAGCAAGTTCAGCAGCTCAGTGGTTTAACCCACTGCGTCACCAGAGGTACAATTGAGAAAAATAACTCATGTTTTATACCCTACTACTGGAAGTAATGGGAAGAAAAGTGCATCTCGGTTGCAGTGATATACAACTCAAGCTACATTTTCCAGTTTTATTTCTCATCAGTATTGAATTAGTGTGTGTGAAAAGACTGCTATTATTATTATTATTATTATTATTATTATTATTATTATTCAAACTTATAGCAGCCACTCCCCTAGGGCTCGGAGCGGCTTACAAGAACAAACTAGAATCTAACACAATTTAAAACAACATATCAAAGATCAAAAGCCTGTTGAAACAGGTATGAGGTCTGCAAGAGAGCAAAACAGCAACATAATAATTAATGCAATATTCAGTAAGAGGTGTACAGCCCCTCTGGATTGGCAGGATCTGGATCTGCAATTTTAAGTGATCATGGATCATTGCGCCTCATATTAATAAACAGAAGTATAGATACAAGATATCAAAGACCAACGAAGACTAGAGGGAAGTCAACAAATACGTTTATTTTTTATTTTGGGGGGATTTTTCTCCCCCCCTCCCCTTCCTGCTACTACCTCTTCCTTTCCTACTATTCTCTTAACTATAACAATAATTTTCTCCCACTTTAGATGTAAAATGTATACTTTTTCTTTAACTTTATAAAATCTCTGAATAAAAATATTTCAAAATAAATAAATAAACAGAAGTGTTATGAACATGGACATGTTGAAACGTGCACATTCACATTGCCATCTTTTAATCTTATAGGATGTGATGGTCCATATTTTTTTTGGTATTTGCAGGGGGTCCTCAAACTGAATGAACCCTTGTGGATACAGCGAGCCCACTGTACCGACACTTTTCAGCTAGTTCAGTGATTTGTACAAAATTAAGCTTCTTGCTTCCCTCTTCTTTGGTCCCATTTCCAAAGCTTCCTTCCAAAACAATTAATTCCAAATAGTACACACTTGAGGTTTCAGGTTTCTTACTTGCCTTTGTAACTGTATTTGTTGGGCTGCGGCAGCACAGTGGTTAAAATGGCTAGCTGCAGGAAAAGCTGTTGACCGGAAGGTTAGCAGTTTGAAGCTGCGAGTTTGGGTGAGCTCCCGACTGTCAGCCCTAGCTTCTGCCTACTTAGCAGTTCGAAAGCACTGGCTGACAAATTCACATTCCAAGTCAGCACATCCCTAATTCCCAATTCAGTGCTTCTTTGATACCATCGTCAGCTGTAATGATTAAGGCATCATTGCTATAAGTACCACATGCAAAGTTATTTTCAGCAACACCCTTTGTTTCCTACTGCGTTAGGCCCTTTCTCAACTCCTGCTGGACCGGAAATCTAAATCAGGGAATTAAAAAAAACAAAAACCTTTCTCTCCCCCATGCTTTAAATTTTCGTAGATTGATGCCATAAGATCACTTTCAACAAACTGACACACACAACACACTGGATTATAACACAGCAAACACTGCACTGCTAGCAGAATTGTTTCTGAATGCATATTAGTCAGCAGTTGCTTATGAAGGCTTTAATGGGGCAGACCATTTTAATTCTTGAACTACTGCCCAGAACTCACCAAACCAATAAAGGATTCAGATATCCCCCCCCCCCCAAACAAGTCTGAATACAGTATACTAGTAATTAGCTTCACTGAAATTTGACCGACAAACTACATGCCAATAAGTGGTGTAAAAAAGTGACCATGTTTAAATTTCATAAATAATAAAGAGAGTTATGCTGGGGAAAATGGAAGGAAAAAGGAAGAGGGGCCAACCAAGGGCAAGATGGATGGATGGGATCCTTGAAGTGACTGGATCGACCTTGAAGGAGCTGGGGGTGGTGATGGCTGACAGGGAGCTCTGGTGTGGGCTGGTCCATGAGGTCACAAAGAGTCGGAAATGACTGAATGAATGAACAACAAATTAAAAATACTTTATTTATAGACCACCCTCTCTCCCCGAGGGAGCTCAGAGCAGTTAAAGTGTTGGGGATAACAATCTTCTCAAGCCTCCTCTATTTAATGTTTTGTCTGTTTATAATGTGATGTTTTATTTCCTGAAGTGTATGTTTTCTTTGGTTTGCAGTTTCCTTAGCTCTATGTACTAGAAGCAGTGGGAAGGGCTGCAGATCACGTGACTGTTTAGAATGTATTTTTAAACATGATGACAGTTGAGGAATGACAATTAAGGCTTGAGTCAGTTGAGTAAAACAAATGCGTTACTTTAAAAGAAGTCTACTTGAATCTTTGTCTGCTGAGAGCATTGAATAGAAACAAGATATTTACTAGCCCAGCAATCATCAATTACTCAATAAACTAAAGGAACACCTCCTTAACTCTGCTACCCAATAGGCTGTGATCCTAACAAGTCATAATCCGTATCCCAATATAAAGGTCGTTTGCATCATATGTGATGAACATGTCTTCAGGCTGAGATATATTGGAACATGATCCAAGTATTGTTAGTGGGTTAAACCCCTGTGCCGGCAGGACTGAAGACCGACAGGTCGCAGGTTCGAATCCGGGGAGAGGCGGATGAGCTCCCTCTGTCAGCTCCAGCTCCGCATGCAGGGACATGAGAGAAGCCTCCCACAAGGATGGTAAAACATCAAAACAACTGGGCGTCCTCTGGGTAATGTCCTTGCAGATGGCCAATTCTCTCACACCAGAAGCGACTTGCAGTTTCTCAAGTCACTCCTGACACGAAAAAAAAAAAGTTTCTTAGATACGGTTATCATGATTTTCTATACAAAGAATGCCAACCAATAAAGCACCGGGACCGGACGGCCTTACAGCCAAATATTACAAGACATTTCAAGACATCCTTATACCACACCTACAAACAGTTATGAATAAAATAATGGGAGAAAAAGATATACCAGACTCTTGGAAGGCAGCAACAATCACTCTGATACATAAAGAAAACTCAGACAGCGCAATGGTCAAAAATTACAGACCCATATCATTACTCAACGTGGATTATAAGATATTCTCGGGCATACTAGCCAATAGATTGAAAGAATTACTAAGCAGCAGAATCCATGAAGACCAGGCGGGCTTTCTCCCTAAGCGTCAAATAAAAGATAACATACGAATGGTCCTGAACATAATCGACTACTATGAAAAAAATAGACAGAAAGAAATAGCCATTATGTTTTTAGACGCTGAAAAAGCGTTTGACCATCTCAACTGGAATTACATCAATGCTATCTTAAGGGAAATGGACGCAGGATACTACTTTCTGAACGCAATAGAATCAATCTACACAGACCAGAAGGCAAAACTTCTAGTTAACAACCATCTATCTACAGAAATCCCAATAAGAAAAGGCACCAGACAAGGTTGCCCACTATCCCCTCTCCTCTTCATACTTGCATTGGAGACTCTTCTCGATAACATCAGGAAAACTACAGAGCTAAAAGGTCTAAGAACTATGAAACACACTTTCAAACTTCGTGCGTTTGCCGATGACATAGTATGTTTTATAGAAGACCCCAGGAGCACCATCAATAACTGGCTACACGAAATTGAAAAATACGGAGAGGTGGCTGGACTCAAGATCAACAGAGACAAGACACAGATCATTACAAAGAATATGGAAAGGGGAAAAAAAAGAAGAGATCCAAGAAAGAACTGGAATCAAAGTAGTCCAAAAAGTTAGATACCTCGGAATAACAATCACACCCAGCAACTCACAGCTAATAAAAAACAATTATGACCAAAAATGGACAAAAATAAAAAACAAGCTAAAAAAATGGGAAAACCTAAACCTATCCCTTTTGGGATGAGTGGCAATTATCAAGATGAATATATTACCAGACCTCTTATTCACCTTCCAAACTCTCCCAATTCTAAGGTCAAGCAAAACGACTCAGAAATGGCAAAAAGAAATACTTAGATTTATTTGGAAGGGCAAAAAACATAGAATTAGCGCAAAGAAGCTAATCGATGATAAAAAAAGAGGTGGCCTGGCCTTCCCAGAGCTACAATTATACTATGACGCGGCGGCCCTGAGTTGGACGAGAGACTGGGGAACACTATCGAAGAGAAGAATCCTCGCATTAGAAGGCTTTGACCTTGCTCAAGGCTGGCACTCCTATCTTTGGAGGGGGAAAGATAAGAAGGAAAAAAACTTCAAAAACCACCCAATTCGCGGTGCACTCATACATGTATGGAACAAATATAAAGAATTATTCCACCAGAAAACTCCGATGTGGTTTTCGCCAAATGAAGCCTATCATAAAAGGGAACTCCCGAGAGAAAAATGGTTGACATATAAACAACTAACCATAATAAAAAACCGAGAAGTGTTTCTCAAAACCCAAGAAGAACTGAAACAGATAGACCCAACGATATCGTGGTTTCAATTCCACCAAATAAAAGAGAACTTTAGAATCGATAAGACAAAAGGGTTCGAAGAGAAAGACACATTCTGGGACAAGATTCTGAACACAGACACGAAATTAGTCAGAAAACTTTATAACCAACTACTAAGATGGAACACAGAGACCGAAGTAATAAAGGACAGTATGATCAACTGGTCAAGAGATGTCGGTCGCTCCATCCCATTAGAGAAATGGGAAGAGATCTGGCAAACAAAAATCAACTACACATACGCGACCGACATCAAGGAAAGTTGGTACAAAATCTATTTTAGATGGTACCTAACACCTGAAATATTGAAAAAAATTAGTAAAGGAAAAACTAAGGACCTCTGCTGGAAATGCGAAAAAGAAAAAGGCAGCCTCATACATATGTGGTGGGGCTGCAGAAAGATTAAAAACTACTGGCTGCAAATCCATGAGAGTATAGAAGATATATTAGACATAAAATTTAACCCGACTCCAGAGACTCTACTTCTAGGAATACACGACATAAAAATGGAAAAAAACAAAGACAAATTTTTTTCTATTTAATCACTGCCGCAAGGATGACATTAGCCAAATTATGGAAAGCGAAAGATATTCCAACAGTAGATCAGTGGATAACGAAGACAATGGATATAATTAATATGGATATCCTGACCCAAAAAATCTCCACTAGTTACAAAAAACCCAAAAAGACGGATTGGAAAGCCGTCCTAGACTTTATAAGAAAACTTAACGACGGATTACATATTATAGACATGTAAACCCAAGGGAATTACCAACAAAAAAATAGGTCTCGATACATCTATTTGCTTATCACAAAAATAGTAAAGCTAGCAGCTCAACAATCTTGCGATTATACAAGGGGTTAATAATAATAACAATTGAAAGAAACACTAGTTAGCTACCAACTAGAAACAAAAAAACAAACAAAAAAAAAAAAACATAAACCCGAAGGGCATCAAACAAGGATGAATTGTATAACTGCGGATTTAGGAAAGTGTCAACCTGGTCTTACCTGGAAGTAAACCCCCCTATCCCTACCTTCTCCCAGATTTTGGTCCCCCCTCGACTCAACACACCAAATCCCCCTCCCTCCCTACCTCCCCCCCCCCAACCCTATTGCCTATGTACCTTCCCATACACCCTTCCTGTTGTTTTTTATTGTAAACCTGAAAACGAAATAAACATAATATCCAAAAAAATGATTTTCTATGATGATTGGTAGTTTGCATGTTTTGTATCTTAAAAACTAGAGCTGATAGGGGAAAATTGGTGTCATTTTTGGGATCAGCATGTATTTAGAAACATGTATAACATTTGAGGCACCAAAATGCATGTTGGCCAGTGTCATCTAATTTATTAAAGAGAAGTCAGCAGACAAATTCCTGAAAGACTGGGAGCTTTTTTAGATTTATATGAAGAGGAAAGAAGGGAAGATTATGCTTGCCTGACTTGAAGACTGAAAAAGTAGCTTAGTTTTATATTAAAGAGAAGTTGAAGAATTCTCGATCTTGAAGCTGAAGAGTGGAGAAATTAACTTTTACATTTTGGAGGTAAAAGAAAAATCCAGCTGTTAGTGTCTAATGTTAACTATTTTTAGTTTGGGTATTATATTACTGTTTGCTTTCATTGCAGATGCTGATTGAACATGGCCATAGAGCTAGGAAGTCACACAACACAGGGACTGTGGTGCAGCTGTCTGAATGTCAGCTGCATTAAGATCACTTCTGACCACAAGGTCATGAGTTTGAAGCCAGCCCAGGTCAGAGTGAGCTTCCAACCAATTGTGTAGCTTGTTGTTGACCTTTGCAATCCGAAAGACAGTCGCATCTGTCAAGTAGGAAAATTAGGTACCACCTATGTGTAGGGAGGCTAATTTAAGAAAATTTACGAGGCCATAAAAAAGACTCCAGCAAAGCACTCCAGCAAAAAGCATGTGGGGAACGCGCAAGTACTTAATCAGTATCGCAGACGGACGATGAAAGTGACAGCTCCCCTGGAGGCCAGAAAAAGTTAAATAGCCTCTGACTGTCTCTATCTGTTGTGTGTCTTGGCATTGAATGTTTGCCATATATGTGTACATTGTAATCTGCCGAGTCCCCTGCGGGGTGAGAAGGGTGGAATATAAATACTGTAAATAAATAAATAAACAAACAAACAGTGATTCTGGCCATAAATGCCTTCGACAATATATTTACTTATGCATGAAAGGTTTGCTACCTTTTCCAAAGCATCAGCTTCCGGCTTTTGTTGTGGCACCTCACATAGAAAAACATCAACAGGACCCTTTGTACTCTTTATGCGGACTTCTATACAGTTCTGTAAGAAATCAGTCTTTGTTAAGAACAGGAAGAGACACAAGCTGCAGTAAAATATTCCAGTAAATCAGGAACAGAGAACCCATAGTCCACAGGCCAAGCCATTGACTCATCCTACAAGCTCTTTTCCAAATCTCCACTGACCTTCCTACAATCTCCACTAACCTTCGCCATTGCCAAGTACCTTTTGGATCACCACAACATGAAAGGTAACCCTTCTGTTGCAGGAAAACTGAAGGAATCTTCAGCTCAAAGATTCAATTAAGGATCAGAGATAAGAGCTGAGATTCCTATCTCAGGGCCCTTCCACACAGCCCTATATCCCAGAATATCCAGGCAGAAAGGCAAAGGTAAAGTTTTCCACTTGACATTAAGTATAGTCGTGCCCGACTTTGAGGGGTTGGTGCTCATCTCCATTTCTAAGCCGAAGAGCCAGCGTTGTCCATAGACACCTCCAAGGTCATGTGGCCAGCATGACTGCATGGAGCGCCGTTACCTTCCAGCAGAAGTGGTACCTATTGATCTACTCACATTTGCATGTTTTCAAACTGCTAGGTTGGCAGAAGCTGGGGCTAACAATGGGAGCTCACACCGCTCCCAGGATTCAAACCACCGATCTTTCGGTCAGCAAGTTCAGCAGCTCAGCGGTTTAACCCACTGTGCCACAAGGGGCTCTCCAAGGCAGAAAAACCCATATATATGCTTTGAACTGGGTTATCTGAGTCTAAACTACCATATATTCCAGTTCAAAGAGGATGTGGGATTTTATTAAGCTGTGTGGAAGGGGCTTCAGATAACAGAAAGCTGTGAACTAGGAATTTATGCCTTTTGGGTGGAGGCCTGAGACAGCTTCTACCTTTTGACATCATAGATATAATAACTTCTGGACAGGTGAAGGGTTTGAAATCTAGGTTCTTGTGGGTTTTTTTGGGCTATAGAGCCATGTTCTAGAGGCATTTCTCCTGACGTTTCGCCTGCATCTATGGCAAGCATCCTCACTACCTCTGAGGATGCTTGCCATAGATGCAGGCGAAACGTCAGGAGAAATGCCTCTACAACATGGCTCTATAGCCCGAAAAAACCCCCCAAGAACCTAGTGATTCCAGCCATGAAAGCCTTCGACAATACATGGTTTGAAATCTCTTTTGTCATAGCGTTTTCTCATTCTTTTATATCTGGAATTGACAACTGGGGAGCACAAACCAAACACAAACAGGATGTGGTACCACAACCATCTTTTGCTGATCCCTAACTGAAGGGCACACACTGTTATAATTATATTCCCAAACAAGTTTGTGCACCTTCTGATTCAATCCTGATCAAATGCTTTTGAAAATATTCCATTGAAATTCTAGGCTAAGTGTTTCACTGTGAGATTTCAGGAGTATATAATGACACTTTTTATTTCTGCAAAGAGGAAAACCACCGACTTTAGGTGGTACTTACAGCGTACTTAACAAAATGACTGTATTGAAAAACAGCAACAAATCTTTTCAAAATAAGAATGGAAATTATGGTGCTAGTCTTTGTAAAAATGGTTTTGTTTTTTTTACACACCCACCCATCCAACCTAGTCCCACTGATCTGAAATATTTTTCAAGCAGCTCTTACCATTTTAGGGGGTGGCACCTCCATTCTGGTTTCTTCAGGCGCTTTAATGGCAATAATAATCTGGTCTTGAAATGCCTCAATGCTACGAATATCTTGATAGGTCACGTAAGCTAGTGTACACAGCAGTTAAGGTGTTTTTATAGCAGCCTTTGGTCGAACATATACTTTATTACATACATATTTCTGTGTGTGTATGTCCCTTCAACCTGCAGGTCAGGTTATGGAACTCCATTGATTTCTAGGATTTTCTTAGACAAGGTTGAGCCAGATATTAGTCATGGGTCCAACATTTGCCCCATTTGTTTGATTCGTGTTTTTGTTTCATTCCGTCTATTTGGATAGCACAAAATGGAATGGCTCCTCCTGGAATGAAAATGCAATTGATATGAAAGGTAGATGGGAGCAGGTACCAGCTTCAAGCCTGCCTTTTGGATTGATTGCCTGGGGCCTGGCAGGGCCTGCAGCCGAGTCCTGAGTAAGGAGCTCTCCTTGGTACTTAGCTGCAGGCCCTGCCAGGCCCAGGCACGTAGGCAGGGAAGCCTGCACCCATAGTCCCAAAGCACCCGGGCCTCAAGGTGCAGGCTCCTTACGTGGCACTCAGCTGCAGGCCCTGTGAGGCCCAGGTGCATACGCCCAAAACCCGCACCTGTAAGCCCGGGCACTTTGGGCCTATGGGTGAAGCCCTGAGTCCCCCCCACCCCCGATGATAATGGGCCGAAAGAAAAGAGATATTTCAGCCCTGAAAAAAAAAGAGACAAAGATCTGACCTCCTGATTTCAGGAGGCTGAGACGAAAATGGATCGGGTCCCCCACTGAAAGCTGGGACACGAAACAGATCAAGGTAAGTCCTGAATACACATGACTACCAGATATGGTCTTGCCACTTCCTTCCTCTGAAATATAACCCACAGCACCTGGTATTCACTGGCAGTCTCCCATCCAAGTACCAACCAGGGCCAACTCTTCTTAGCTTCCAACTAATACCACACTTATCATTGTGTAAGATAAAGTCTTGAAATTTTTCAACTCCAGCTAATAAAAAAAATGTCTGTTGATACTAGAAAAAGGATATCTTGAGTTTTCTTTATCATCTGTTAAATCAAACAATTGGTGAGCACAGTCCTTGATTAATTCATCCAGTGCCTCTTCCATTGCTGTCAAATCATAAATTTCATCTCGTAACTTTTGCTGCTCTGGTGTCCTTCTAGTGATATTCTTAATATCCGATCCACTAAGACAAAACAAAATATTTTTAGTCTTATAGTTGGCATTCTCCCTAAAGAAAAATGTGTCATAATACTTATTAATTCTGATGGTTATGTTGATTAGAGCACAGCCAGTCTTTGACAGTAAATACTGTGCACTACTACTACTACTACTACTACTACTAATAATAATAATAAAAACACCTTTATTTATAGATCACCCTATCTCCCCAAAGGGACTCAGGGCGGTTTCCAACAAATATGGCAAACATTCAATGCCAAAAGAAAACCAAACAATAATTTATGTCAGGTCAAGGCATATTAGACAATATAGAACAACCTAAATGTAACTGAATAAACAAAATAGCAATAAATAAATAAAAATATCATAAAATACAAAAATCCTTATAAAACACACTCAAAATAAAAAATAGAACCGATTATATCGGAGCTCCATCAGGCGAGGTTCAACACTCCAGTGACCAAGAGTACTAAAATGGACCTAATCAACTACAAGAGGGCTGTGTATCACCTCTGAACAGCTACATATTTCACAAGACAATGGATACACACCAGCAGCCCAATTCTATGTGGAGTTTGGCAGGTTTAGTAAATTCAATTGTTGCTTGAAAGTTGTGATTGTCAACTTACACCCACTCAATATGATTCTTGGATCTTTTCTGAATCAGATGGATTCCGTCTAGCACATTTGTGATATCGTACACTCTTCGTTTCCGCACTCCCAGCTTACGGGAAACCTCATTCAAATCGAGAACACCTTGTGGAGCAGTTCTGATAAGCTCCATGAATCGCTGGGTCAAATGAACCAGGGAGCCGTCATAACGTGGTTTTTTGCTTTTCCCAAATTCTGTATGGGTTTAAATAGCAGTTTTATTTAGTTATTAGAAGAAGAAAAAACAGAAGACGGACATAAAGTTTATAATTATACACATTTATAATAATAATAATGATAATAATCTTTATTTATATCCCGCCACCATCTCCCCAAAGGGACTCGGGGCAGCTTATATGAGACCAAGCCCAACAACACATCAGTGAAAACAACAAAGCACTAAGCAAACAATTAATATAACTTACATATAGACAATAACAATAATTGTAGAAGGCTTTCATGGCCGGAATCACTGGGTTGTTGTAGGTTGTAGTGACCTCACTACCTCTGAGGATGCTTGCCATAAATGCAAGCGAAATGTTAAGAGAGAATGCCTCTAGACCATGGCCATACAGCCCGAAAAACCCTACAACAACCCAATAACAATAATATCTTGTCTACTGTCTTGTGTAGACTTTCCATACAAAGCAGATGAGACATTGTGCGGCCCTCCTTTCCTAGCCTCAGGTCATGCACAAAAGGCATACATGAAAACATTCTAATGCCTGGTAGCAGTGTTGTCATTATGACGAGCAACGGCTATGACCATTGGCAGTCATCCCATAGACACTGGGAGTATACCTATCACGGTAATCAGGCTCTCTACTTTTCAGAGTAGTGTTGTCCCCTTTCCCATACCTCTCCCCAATTTCAGGGTGATTGTGTAGAGAAAACTGCAGCTGTTGCACAAGCATGGCAACATTTTCTCTTTATCTCTCAGAATGATTTAGCTATCACTTGGTTAAAAACTGGAGACAACCGCTTTCTTTCAAATATTTACCATACTTTGACAGAGACAGGACTTTTCTTTAGGTAGATTTAAATAGAGTTATCATATTTTCACAAACAAAATATTCACTTGTCACCTGACTACACTTGACCTTTCACATTCACCAATATGATTGTTTGTGGGTTTGTTACCCCTCCTCATGAGGCCCAAGGCCACCATGGGCACTTCCAAGCAGTCATATAATCCCAGAATATCAAGGCAAAAAATCCCACAATATCTTCTTTGAACTGAATTATCTGTGTCCGCACTGCCATATATTCCAGTTCAAAGCAGATAATGTGGGATTTTATTCAACTGTGTGGAGGGGGCCCATGTCGACATTTCCGCTGCAGCCTTGGACTTCTGGAAGGGGAACAGCAGCAATTACCAGCAATTACTGTGTAAATGTGCATGCACCAGCCTCAGGCTTCAGGATGGCATAGGAACAACAATGCCCTTCGCCAATCATGTCAGAACTACGCCGCTGCAAGGATTTTGAAAGCAGGCCATTCCTGAGGCTCTACCCATCACTTGGCTTTGCAAGAGGTGAGGCAGCAGCAAATCACCTGCTTGCCAGCTCCACAAGCAATCCGTGCCCTGCCCTGGGGATAGTTTTTCCACTTTCTCGGGTTTCCTATGCTCCGAACCCTTGTGAACATGGAGGACTGACTATTCTTCAAATCACTGATGGTTGATAACTCTCACTTTAAATACCCCTAACTGTGTAAGCATCCGGACGTCCCCTGCAAGGACGTTGCAGGGGACGTCCGGATGTTTGCTGTTTTACCACCCCTGTGGGAGGCTTCTCTCATGTCCCCGCATGGGGAGCTGGAGCTGACAGAGGGAGCTCAACCCGCTCCCTCCGGATTTAAACCGCTGACCTGTTGGTCAGCACAAGGGTTTAAGCCATTGTGCTGACCGGGGGTATGTAAGTGGTGATCATTGGTACTATAATTATTCCCAACCTGCACTGCATTTAAATAGCAACAACTTTGCTCTTCCTTTCACCCCTCCCTGCATTTGCCCAAAGTTGCCTCAACTATTCAATTTTCCCCACAAAGCCAGAGACTCCCACAGCTGTCTCACTCAGGCTGTATAAAATCCAGATTATCTGCTTTGAATTGGATTATCTGGCAGTGTAGACTCAGATAATTCAGCTCAGATCAGATAATGTGGAATATCTGCCTTCATATTCTTGATTATATGGCAGTGTAGAAGGGCCCTCAGGTAGCTCACTTTCCCTGTCCAGATCTGATTCTCTTCTCCCCACAACCCTGAGTCACTTTCTCTGGCAAAGGGAGGTCCTTTGTTCTTCTTAATATTTAGGTGATAACCCTAATCCAAAATATATTTGAGTAATTGTTGTTAATATTTTAATTGCAAATGTAATATAATTTAGAGAGAGAATGTAGTCTCTAAATAGAGTTTTGGAACAATCAAGATAGATTTTGGGGTTTTGAGTGGAGGGCACACTTACTTCTAACTCTCACAAAAGTTGCACCTTCATCTAATTGTTGATTGCTGACAGATATAAACTGTAGATCATCTTCATTTTCAGTTTTAAATCCTGCCTGTGAAGATAAAAAGAATAATTAGAATAGTGTTTCTGGAAATTCACCCTTTGCTCACGTAAGGCCCTTCCACACAGCCATATAATCTAGAATATGAAGGCAGAAAACCCCACAATACACTGCCATATATTCCAGTTCAAAGCAGATAATGTGGGATTTTATTCAGCTGTGTGGAAGGGGCTGTAGTTTGTAAACTGTAGCCACACAGCTGACCTGTGATAACTTGGGGACCTTTTCACTCTGCAGTTACAGCCCCATGATTCTGTTTTAATGGCCATGGTTACATCCTATAAAATCCCAGGGTTTGTAGTGCTGATGGTTGGGGGGGCACTAGAGGAGCCCCCCAAATTGGGAATTCTAGGTGTTCCTTCTAAACTGTTGCTTCTAGAAGTCTATAGGAATATGCTGCCACAGTTGAAGTGGAAGAATAGTGCTACAATTGTGAAGTGACCAGGCTATGGCGTAACTAGTAGACCGGGCTGTGGCACAGCTAGTTAGTAGCCAGCTGCATTAAATCACTACTGACCAAGAGGTCATGAGTTTAAAGCCAGCCCGGGTCAGAGTGAATGCCCAACCATTAATAGTCTAGCTTGCTGTTGACCTATGCAGCCCGAAAGATAATTATATCTGTCAAGCAGGAAATTTGCGTACCACTTTATGTGGGGAGGCTAATTTAATTAATTTATGGCACCATTAAAAAAACCTTCCAGCAGTGTGTGTAAGAATGAGGAAGCACTCCATCAAGGACTCGGTGTCACAAGTGGATGGTAAAGCGGAAGCTCCCGCTGTGGCATACCCTCATGAAGCTGGAAAGCTGGAATGTTAAATTGCCTCTGTGTCTATCTATATATGTTGAATGTCTAATAGCATTGAATGTTTGCCATGTATATGTGAATTGTAATCCACCCTGAGTCCCCTACAGGGTGAGAAGGGTGGAATATAAATACTGTAAATAAATAAATAAACAAATAAGTGTGAAAGCATCTGTGGGCCCTTCCACGCAGCCATATAACCAAAAATATCAAGGCAGAAAATCACCACAATATCTGCTTTGAACTGGGTTATCTGAGTCCACACTGCCATATATTCCAGTTCAATGTGGATTTTAGACAGTTGTGTGGAAGGGGCCCATGTGTCCAAAATGGTCCTCCTGTAACAAATGTGACATAATCATGCTATTACACTATGTAACATAATTTTTGTTCCTGGGTTATAAATGTCACTTTCAAAATGGGTTCTATCATTAAAAACATTGAATAAGTTTATTAAACTGCAAAAAAAAAAAAAAAAAAAGCATTTGCGGGACATCCTGCAGCACATTTTGCTATAGTTTTCTAATATCTCAAGTCTCAACCAATTCAACATAATTTATGGTAGCCACAAAAACAATGTTTCTGGAGTAGAACCACTACTTTCAAACTAAGTACTGCACAATTAAACTGGGAATAACACTTTCCAACCTGGAAAATATATTTTTCAAGTTTTGCTACATAGTGTTATTTATATCTCCACTTTTAAATGAGACTCAACGCTGATACAGGGGATATTGGTACAAAGGCTTTATGGATAATCTGTAACAATGTTTGCTCTTGAAATAATTCCTCCAACAAAAGAGATAGGAATGCTGGCAGGAAAAGTGGACAAAAAGGTCCTCCACAAAGGTAGTAAAAAGTGAAGAGATCCAGCTTCTTGTATATAAATACATAGCTATACACCTTTCGTGTTCATTACATTGTTCCTCAGCTTTCAAAACATATACATGACAGAAAAGCAGAACACAAATAATGAAGAAACTTAGCGCTCTTCCACACAGCCATATATCTCAGAATATCAAGGAAGAAAATCCCACAATATCTGCTTTGAACTGGGTCATCTGAGGCCACACGGTCATATATCCCAGCAGAGGCTGGATGGCCATCTGTCTGGGCTGCTTTGAATGCAATTTTCCTGCTTCTTGGCAGGGGACTGGGCTGGATGGCCCACGAGGCCTCTTCCAACTCTATATGGCAGCGAGGACTGAGACAACCCAGTTCAAAGCAGATATTGTGGATTACCTGCCTTGATATTTTGGGGGTCCTCCCACACAGCACTATCCCAGAATACTCGCAAGGTAGGTAAACAAACACAATATAGTCAATGCAATAGGAGAACTGTAATGACCATACAGTGTTCTCTCACTTATTGCGGGTGTTACGTTCCAGGACCTCCCGCAATAAGTGAAAAACCGTGATGTAGGGACGCTCTATTTATTTTAATATTTATACATTAGTAGTTATACACTATTTTAAGTCTTTATAACCTTAAAATAAAGTGAAGGAAAGGAAGGAAAGGGCCTTCAAGGCTGGAGGGAGGACTGAGGAGGGAAAGCGCTTTGGAGAGCAGCAGCAGCACCAAAAACCCGCGAAACAGCAAAAAACAAACACCCTGCGATATATATTTTAAATTAATATTTTTTGAAAACCGGGAAACAGCGAGCCTGCTGAAACCGAACCGCGAAGTAGCGAGGGAACACTGTATAGCATATAGTGATAGTGAATTGGGGATTTTGGTGTCACTATATGCTACACTGCATAGACTATATTGTGTTTGTTTACGGCCCTTCCACACAGCCATATCAAAGCAGAAGATCCCACAATACCTGCTTTGAACTGGGTTATCTGAGGGCCCTTCCACACCGCCCTATATCCCTGAATATCAAGGCAGATAACCCACAATATCTGCTTTGAACTGGGTTGAGTCCATATAACCCAGTTCAAGGAACCTCCAGTGGCGCAGTGGGTTAAAGCACTGAGCTAATGAGCTTGTTGACCGAAAGGTTGCAAGTTCGAATTCAAGGAGCAGCGTGAGTTTCCTCTGTCAGCCCCAGCTTCTGCCAAATTAACAGATCAAAAACATGCAAATGTGAGTAGATCAATAAGCATTGCTCCGGCGGGAAGGTAATGGCGCTCCATGCAGTCAGGCCCATGGCCACATGACCTTGGAGGTGTCTATGGACAATGCTGGCTCTTCAGCTTAGAAATGGAGATGAGCACCACACCTCAGAGTCGGACACGACTGGACGTCATGTCAGGCGAAAAGCTTTACCTTTTCCTAACCCAGTTCAAAGCAAATACTGTGGGGTTGTATACAGCTGTGTGGAAGGGGCCTGAGTCCACGCTGCCATATATCCCAGTTCAAAGCAGATAATGTGGGATTGTCTACAGCTGTGTGGAAAGCCCCTTAGGCCCATCTACACTGTGGAATTGAGGCAGTCTGGCCCTGCTTTATGGCTCAAGGCCCTGGGAGTTGCAGATGGGTGTGCCCTTTCCCCCTTTCCCCTCCAAGCCAGAAAAGGGAAGAGTGCCTCCAAGTGCAGTCATGCTGGCCACAAGACCTTGGAAGTGTCTACGCACAATGCCAGGGTGGAGTGAGCACCCAAAGGGAAAGAGCCCGGCCTCGTACTAGTTGTTTTCAGACCAGGTCCAGAGAAAGGGATTTCCCCTCCTCCTCTTTGTGGCTTTTCTCTCTCCCAGGAGAGACTCCCAGGGAAGCCCTTCCTTTCTTTCCTCGCTTCTAAGCAACCCAGCCAAGAGGGAAGACTCACTTCCTGCCAGTCCAGCGACTCCTCCAAGCTCTCAGGCGAGACGGGGGCCGCCATCCTGGCCCAGCCTCTTCCTCCTCCTCTTCCTTTTCCTCCTCTGATGGGAGGAGGAGCCACGGATGACGAGGCAGAGGCAGCAGGGCCCGCCTTCATTGCCTTCCCCTTCCCCATGTTGGACAGAGACAGAGACAGGGAAGCCTGCATAGGGACTACCAAACGCAGCGTTGCCCCAACCTGAATCAAGGAGCAGATTAAGCCAACCTGAGAAGTCGGCCAGAGCAGAGCACCTAATGAACCAACCTGGACACAGCATATTATTTGAGAACACAGAAATGCTGGACCACTCTCACAACCACCATGTCAGGCTACACAGAGAAGCCATTGAAATCCACAAGCATGTGGACAATTGCAACACAAAGGAGGAAACCATGAAAATGAACAAAATCTGGCTACCAGTATTTAAAAAAACTCTAAAATCAGGACAGTCAATAAAGAGCAACACTCAGGGGAATTCCTGACATGAAACTATCAAGGCCAGCTAACATATCCCAACAAAGGATTCCCCAGGCAGGAATCAGCCAGTCTTTGAAGCTGCAATGCTAATCAAGGTGGCCATTTGCAACATTCACATCTTTATATAAATAAAAATGTAATGTTCGTTTGTGGGATTAACATAACTCAAAACCCACTGGACGAATTGGCACCAAATTTGGACACAAGACACGTATCAGGCCAATGAGTGACCATCACTCAAAAAATTGATTTTGTCATTTGGGAGTTGTAGTTGTTGGGATTTATAGTTCACCTAAATTAAAGCATTCTGAACCCCACCAATGATAGAATTGAACCAAACTTCCCACACAGAACCCCCATGACCAGCAGAAAATACATAAGGCCATCCAGTCCAACTCCCTTCACCATGGCAATAAAATGTAATCAAAGCCCTCCTGACAAAGAGCCATCCAGCCATAGATATAGATAGATACATATGATTCACACACACAGATATAGTATCCTAGATTTGAAAGGGACCCCTAAAAAAGGACAATGAGCCTGTTTCAGAGTAGGCAAACCTGACAATCTCTACATTGACAAAGAAACAGCAAGAAATACTGTTTACCCACAAGCATMAAGASATTACATATATTAGAAACCAACACTTTCTCATTACTTTATTTTCCAGATCACCAGACTGGGCCACAGCAATGCCYGACAGGGGAGGGCTAGTTCAATTATAAAAGTAAATAAAGAACAAATCTCAAACACAGGAGAACTCTAGACAAGAAACAATCAGGGACAGCTAATCGCCTCTCAACAAAGGATTCCCCCGGCAGTAACAAGTCACACTTAAAAACTTTCAAGCCATCAAATGCTAATCAAGGTGGTCATTTGAAACATTCATAGCTAGCTCCAAAAGACAAGAGGTCTTTCTCCCACCCTGGACTTTCCACTGATATGTTGTTAATTCGTTCAGTTACTTCCTACTGAATGAATGGACCAGCTCACAGCAGAGCTCTCAGCCCCTTCAATGTCAATCCAGTCACTTCAAGGATGCCATCCATCCATCTTGCCCTTAGTTGGCCTCTCTTCCTTTTTCCTTCCATTTTCCCCAGCAACATTCTCTTCTCCAAGCTTTCCTTTCTTCTCATGATGTGTCCAAAGTACTTCATCTTGGCCTCTACTCTCCTTCCCTCCAATGAGCAGTCGGGCTTTATTTCCTGAAGTATGGACTGATTGGATCTTCTCGCAGTCCAAGGCACTCTCAAACTTTCCTCCAGCACCACAGTTCAAAAGCATCTCTCTTCCTTTGCTCAGCCTTTCCTATGGTCCTGTGCCATTACACCCAGACGCTTTATAAAACAAACTATGATGTGCTGTCGCTATGTCTGGGCAAACCGCTGGGGTTTTCTGGAGAAAATTGAGATAATCAACAATGGAGTCTATTGCAAGTTCTAAACATCAAAAAGGATATTTATTTCAAAGTCTTGCAGACTTGATACAGTTCTTTCAAAGTTGCAATCAAACAGTCAATAGATAAAATCAAACAGATATTCCTTCTCCAAGAGGCAAAGGGTCCAGGAATCCCTCACCCTAATCCAGAGCCCTTATCTATAGAAAGAACCAATCTTTCTCTAACTATCTAGGTTCCAGACTAGCCTTGGAGAAAAGGCAATACGGCCTATCTCCCTATATACTCTATAAAACTCAATTCTATTCTATCTATGACTCAATTTAGCTTCTCTCAATTCTCTAACTATGATATCTCAATTACACTTATCTCAACTCTCAACTGTTCTTAATTTAGCTTACCTAACTGTAACTCAATTAAGCTTAACTCAATCGTTTTTGCGGTGGTTTTTTCTGAGCTACCTTTTTTGGCCTTCAATTCTTCCTTAAGACTGAAGGGGCAGGGAGACCTCCAAAATGGCTGCTTCTACCCTGGAAGCAGGGGCAGGCCCAAAGAGCTACACTTTGGCCAATCATTGCAGAGAGCCTGCAAACTGGCTTTCCTGCCTCTGGCTGCTAACCTTTTAGGCCTTGCAAAGGCTGCAGCAGCTTCCAAGAGAAAGGCAAGGGGCAACCAATTTAAGCAACCCAAAAAGGCAATAAACCCAGTCTCCTGGGAGACGGAACAGGTCCAGCTCTCACATCTGTAGGTTACTACGGGGAATACCATTGCTTTTACTATGCTTTTACTATTCCACTGATATATAAACCCAATATTCCTAGTTTCCAACAGACCTCACAACAAGCTTGGGCATCTTTAGCGTTTGCCTTTTTTGGACATTCAAAACATAGCACAATTATCGATTTCAGTTGACAATGAAGAAGTTCCTGATGGCCAAGAAACCCTGCTTGGGAAAGCTTCTATTGGTCCTCCATTGTGCATGTGGCAGGGCTCACATTGTTTTTTTCCAATCTGATGTCCATTCTTGTGCTTTCCATATTTGCTGGCATATGGCATACGTGCATCACCTTGACAGCATCCTCTTTCAAGATTTTAAACAGTTCAGCTGGGATCTCATCATCTCCTGCTGCCTTGTTATTAGCAATGCTTCTTAAGACCCATTCAACCTCACCTCTCAGGATGTCTGGTTCTAATTCACTCACCACACCGTCAAAGTTATCCTCAATACTATTATCCTTTCTATACAGATCTGCCACTTTCTCTTGATCTCTTCAGTTTCTGTTCGGTCCTTGCCATCTTTGTTTTTGGTCATGCACATTTTTGTCTGAAATTTACCTAAATTTTCTGGAACATCCTTTGCTGGAGATCTGGCACAATCTCCAGGAAAAAATATAATTGCCTTGTTGTAGTGCAGGAGCTTAAGCACATCAATGACGCCATGAATGAAACCGTGAAGGAACACCCAAGATGGGAAGTTCACGGCATTGAGGTCAGAATAAATACTATCCCTGGGGAAGATAATGGCAACCCATCCCAGTTTTCTTTTTATGAAACCTAAATGGATCAGTACATTTTATGAAACCTAAATGGATCAGAGATATGTGGGTGCCCCACCAAAGGACAAACCCCAGATAATTCAACATAGTAATATTTCACATAAATGCTTTGCTTCTCAAAGGCTTTTTATTGATAACAGCAGTACAATTCAATTTATTTTAATGACAAAAGATGGCATAATAGAACAATGGGTTCTAATGCACTACAGTGTTACAGCACTATTATTCCACTTTAACGCAATGGCAACATCCTACAGAATACTGAAGCATTCTTGGCCCCACTAAATGCAAACACTGAATTTTATGGAATGGTCTTATGTCAGTTAAAGTGGAATAATAGCACTATATAGTGTGCTACAATCATAAGTGTAAGGAGCCCCTGGTGGCACAGTGGGTTAAACCTTGTGCCAGCAGGATTGAAGACCGACAGGTCACAGATTTGAATCTGAGGATAGCATGGATGAGCTCCCTCTGTCAGCTCCAGCTCCCCATGTGGGGACATGAGAGAAGTCTCCCACAAGGATGGTAAAACATCAAAAACATCAAAAACTACGCAACGTCTTTGCAGACGGCCAATTATCTCACACCAGAAGCAACTTGCAGTTTCTCAAGTTGCTCCTGACAAGAAAAAAAATCATAAGTCTAACATAGATGACCACCAGTGGCTTTCAGTTAGTTCAAGTTGTTTCTTCCTTATTGTCCACCAGAGGGCAGCAATGTTATTTCCTAAGAGTGTCATAACACTAGGTAACATTTTTTTTTGTTCCTGGGCTATAAATGTCATTTCCTAATTGGTTCATTAATAAAACATGGAAAAAGTTTATTAAACTGCAATATTTTCTGTAGGACATCCTGCATCACATTTGCTCTAGTTTTTCAATGCATATCTCATCGAATCTCAACAAATTCAATATAGGGTTGCTGTGAGTTTTCCAGGTTGCATAGCCATGTTCCAGAAGCATTCTCTCCTGACATTTCACCCACATCTATGGCAGGCATCCTCAGAAGTTGTGAGGTCTGTTGGAAACTAGGCAAGTGAGGTTTAGGGTGGGAGAAAGAACGCTTGTCTGCTTGAGGCAAGTGTGAATGTTGCAACTGGCCACCTTGATTAGCATTGGGTGGCCTTGCAGCTTCAAAGACTGACTGATTCCTGCCTGGGAAATCCTTTGTTGGGAGATGTTAGCTGGCTTTGATTATTTCATGTCAGGAATTCCCCTGAGTGTTGCTCTTTATTGACTGTCCTGATTTTCAAGTTTTTTTAAATACTGAGGTCACGAAGAGTCGGAGACGACTGAACGAATGAACAACAACAGCCAGATTTTGTTCATGTTCATGGCTTCCTCCTTTCTATTGAAATGCTTGTGGATTTCAATGGTTTCTCTTTCTAGTCTGACATGGTGGTTGCTAGAGTGGTCCAGCATTTCTGTGTTCTCAAATAATATGCTGTGTCAACAGGGGAACAACAGGGAAATTCCTGACATGAAATAATCAGGGCCAGCTAACACCTCCCAACTGGGCTTAAGTGGCTGAGAGGGGAAAGGAAAGGGCCTGAGGCTGTTAGGAATGGTGTGAGTTGAAGTCCAAAACACCCGGAGGGCCAAAGTTTGCCCATGCCTGGTCTACACTGTC